GGTCTCAAATTTTTTCCCCACTATTTTTATTCTTTGCTCAAATATTTGTAACATAATTCACAAACCTAATCTTCAAAAATATCCTTAAAAATGGAAGCCAACAGAAATCAGCTAAAAGTCTCCTAACTGATCACATTTAAAGTATCGCCACTAAAAATAAAGTTAAAATTAGACAAAAACTGGATAATATAATTGACTAGTTGGTTGATAGACAACTAGTCAGCCCATCCCTGTTAAAATTATGGACCTCTCAATTTTGAGGCATATAATCTGCACATAATAATGTTTTACAACTGTTTTTTATAAAAATACTGATGTAGTTGAATCATGTGCGCTTTAACTGTCCCTCCCAGGTGGACGCTCAGCTGCTGGTAGTGCAGAAACTAGAAGAGAAGGAGGGTGTTCTGCAGAGCACACTGGCCGCTCTGGAGAAAGAGCTGGCGCTGCGCACTCAAGCCCTGGAGCTCAACAAGCGCAAGGTAAAATTGGAAATATCACAGACGCCCACCTCTGTTCTCGTGTCCATGACAACTATGACTCAGCTTAGCCAACCATTAGCATACATTTCCAGATGTGTGTTTGATGGTCATCTTTTTGCACGATGGCTCAGGCAGTGGAGGCGGCCCAGTTGGCCGAGGACCTTAAAGTGCAGCTGGAACACACTCAGACCAAGTTGAGGGAAATCCAAGCCTCAGTACTAGAAAACCGCACTGCCCGTGAGAGGGAGAGTGTCAACCTCAAGAAAGCACAGGTACATGGGCATGTGTGTTGTAGGGAAGTTTGGGATACAAATGAGTGGGAACAATGTGTGTGAAACTCTCCTACTGTGCTTTCTTTTCAGGAGGACTTGTCCAGACTGCGGCGTAAGCTGGAGAAACAGAAGAAAGTTGAGGTGTACACAGATGCTGATGAGATTCTGCAAGAAGAAATTAATCAGTATAAGGTCAGTCAAAACATAAGTACTTTTATTCAGGAAATGCATTAAATGGATCAACAGTGACAATAAAGACAGTATAATGTTATAGAATATTTCTGTTTCAAGTAAATGCTGTTCTTTTGAACTTTATATTCATCAAAGAAAGTCTTGAATAAAAAGGTGTCACAGTTTTCCCAAGAATATTGAGCAGCAAATATTGGTTTCTTGAGCACCAAATTAGAATGATTTTTGAAGGATCATATGACATTGAAGACTGGATTAATGTCTGCTGAAAATTTACAGGAATTAATTACATTTTAAAATGTATTCAAATAGAAAACCGTTATTTAAATTGTAATATTATTTCATTTGCAATATTACTGTTTTTTACTGTACATTTGATCAAATAAATGCAGCCTTAGGAACGTTTAGAAACATTTGTGACCCTGGACCACAAAACCAGTCTTAAGTCGCTGGGGTATATTTGTAGCAATAGCCAACAATACATTGTATGGGTCAAAATTATCGATTTTTCTTTTATGCCCAAAATTATTAGGATATTAAGTAAAGATCATGTTCCATGAAGATATTTTGTAAATTTCCTACCGTTTATATATCAAAACCTAATTTTTGATTAGTAATATGCATTGCTAAGGACTTCATTTGGACAACTTTAAAAGCGATTTTCTCAATATTTAGATTTTTTTGCACCATCATATTCCAGATTTTCAAATAGTTGTATCTCGGCCTTTTTATTCAGCTTTCAGGTGATGTATAAATCTCGATTTCAAAAAATGGATTTGTGGTCCAGGGTCACATTTTTAGAGAGCACAATCATAGATATTTAAGTAAATATTTTATTTAAAACAATTAGATAAAAAAATATTTTTAAAACTTTACAATAATAAAGTCATTAAAGTTATGAAAATACAAATGGAAGTATGAGAAACATGCTGTGACCAAAATAGGTTCAACTGTCATATAATTTTAGCTTCTTCAGAGTAACCACACTTTGTGTAGATTACACACTGTGGCTATTCTTCCAGCCAACATCTTGAGAACTCCAACTGGGATGGTTTTTTTCCCCATGTGTGCGGGCCACTAGTTGGCTGCTTTTCCTGTACTATTTGGTCCTACTCATCCTTTTAAAAAACTTTGTAGATGAGCACAATTAATGCATCTATGACATTTAATGACAGGTAGATTAGCTTAATACTGTATTATTTGTGGCTGACCTGACTGTTGTCTCCTTTTTAGGCTAAATTGCGTTGTCCCTGTTGTAATACCCGAGATAAGGAGACTGTCCTCACCAAGTGTTTCCATGTCTTCTGCTATGAATGCTTGAAGACTCGCTACGACACTCGCCAAAGGAAGTGCCCCAAATGCAATGCTGCATTCGGAGCAAACGACTTCCACCGCATCTACATCACTTAATTTAGTGTGGGCTTTTTGATGAACTGAATACAGTAGATGAGAAACAAAGGGATGAAAGTGGTCTTGAAGCAGAGGATTACCATAATGTGGTATTTTAAAATGCTCTAAAGGGCCACTTTCACTCCCATCTGTGATAGGTGGTGCTAGTGACCAAACAGACAGTGACAGAATGCAAACAGTTGTGAAGTAGTCATGGTCTACAGCACACAAGCAGTGCTGCTTCGTTGCAGAGGAATCTATTGAGTTCTGTCTCTCTTACTTTTTTGTGTTCTTTAAAGTACTGCAATGATTTTTTTTACTTGCATTTTTAGTTTTTTGAATGACCATGAAACAAAGAGGAAAGACTGTATCTGCTCAAATATCAATATATCATAAATGTTATAACTCCACAGAATACGAGTGACGTCTGAAGTTCGCAGAAACTTTTTTGTTTTGACAATTATGGCCTTATCCGTTTGAGTCGTACAGTAACTATCCAGTAATGTGCTTAGTTTCTATGGTGACACTCTGTGTTATTGAACCCCTTAAAGTAAGTAATGAACAGATGTGATGGATACTGGGTGGAAAAAGGAGAGCTGCAGAATTAGAAGCATAGATGGTGGTGCAGTGATCTTAAAAATACAAAACATGAACAACATTTTTCAGTGTGTGCCATATACCCAACCATACTGTGATATATCACCAACGTATGTCAATAACTATTGCACAATTTCCTTAAAAATAAAAAACTGGATAAAGTTATTTGTGAACTCAGCTCTCTGCTTTGATGTCAACCTAGACAAAACATTTAGAGACATTACACAATGTGTTTTAAGCAAGTGTTTTACCTTACCAGTTAAAGCCTGTTTATAGTTTTGTGTTATGATTTTGCATTTAAGATTGATTGGCTAGATGAAATCTGGGTTTTCATTTTAATGGTGAATGTTATTGTTGTACTTGGTGGAAAAGGATGACTCGAAACTGGACTTTCCAAATGCAATATTGCAGTCTATATGCTGTCTGCCAAAACAATCCTATTTGCACAATGCATGTGTCTTTAGTAACTTCAGATGGTTTAGATAGATATGCATAGTTGCATACTATTAGAAGAGGATCACAGGGGAAGCAGTCCTGGGGAGAATATAAAACCTACCACGCCGGGGGTTTTTTGTACTTGCAAATTTTTGCCCGGAATATATATGTAAATGTTTTTCATTATATTGCGCAATTGACCTTATGTTATTCCCCGCACCCATGGTTTTGCTGTTCTTGATCGTATTAATAACGTACTGCTTTTCCTCTCAGTCTGCGCTGTGTGTCTGCCAAACACTGAACTGTTGTTTGCTCCCTTGGACCAGAGACAGTGAATTACGTAGTTTGGGTGGGGTGACTTTAATGTGCCTATTTTGCTCAAACATACTTTGTGCGGAGACTGGGGTCTCTAGTTCGTGCTCTTACAACAAAAAAAGTACTCATTTTCACAAATGGTCGTTTGTTCGTTTAAACGTTTCTTCACTTAAGTTGTTTTCTTATAGGTCTGACATCAGATATTTACGTCAACAAGACCACCAGTATTTTACTGGCTGATATTTCCTATTAATAGAGAACTGGTTTCTTTTTCAAGTAAATGTAGCTCTTGAAAGTAAAAACGAAAGTGTTGTCAGCGAACAGGCTGTGTGTGTGCGTCTCTTACCATCATTGACGGTTTCCCACTCGTCGTGCTGTGAATACAGAGATTCTAGGGCCGTGTTTCAAATCCTAGCGAGTTGCCTACTTAGACATCATAAAGAATGAACGATTCCGCGTCTTCTTTACGAGTTCGAACAGTTAGACCGTTTTTTTAAGTACTTTTGAGAAAGAAGTATTTTGAAAATCTTACTAGATGCCATCAGCAGTCACCGAATGTTACATGTATGCTATTCATTCAGTAACCACACCGAATGATTCATAAACGCTTTGATTCATGAAGAGAACCGATTTATTTGCATAAAAAGACCAGGTTAGTTACTCTGTAAAACGAACCGGTTCGGTGTCATAGTTCAGCAACCGGACGCACTGTATGACTCACTAAAAAGAAGCGGCTCGTATCAGCAGGGATTTTGTTTTACAAAAAAAGAGACCGGTACAAGATTGTTCTGGAAATGGTCGCAACTCGTATACTTCGCGTTGCATGTGAACAACAAGAACCGTTACCACCAAAAGCCATGATTAAATACAATATTGTTTTAAAGGATTGTGTTCTCAGAATAAGAACCATTCTAAAAGGGAACGCTCTCAGAAAGTTCTAGCAAGGTTATTTTCCCATTAACATTGTTTAAAGCTCTTTAATGACGCTCTCAGAGCACAAAAACATGATTTATACATCGTTTATGGAACGTTTTTCTAAAACATTTTAGTTGGACATGGTTTAGAGAGCAAAATCTTTAATGTGTATATAGGCTAACCAAGAAAAAACGCTTTAAAGCGTTTTGAACGTTCAGATAGCAAACAGAAATAACGTTTTCGTGACTTAATGGGAATGTTATTAAACGTTCTAGAACATATTTTTGGTGGCTGAAAAAAGTCTACAGATGAGAAAAGTCTCGCGGATGCTTTTGAGATACGGCCACAGAATCTCAGTACAGTAACGTTACATAGGAAATGACTCAGAGGAGTTGAACCCAACGCGTGGGTGTGGGCCATAGTGGGCGCTATTAAAACAAGACTGAAAGTTTGGGGTGGGTCATTCACACGCGCTGCTTTTGCTATGCTTGAACCCCATTTGTGGCTTTTAATCTTTTGAAATCGCTGTGGGATTTCAATATATATAAAGCTCAATGGATTCCGGTGCTATGTTGCGTTGCATCTATTGGATTACTCTATTGATCGCCACTCTTATTCATGGAACAAACGCGGATAAAAGTAAGAATATTCACATTTACTTGCTTAATAAACCTCATGTTATAACATAGAGCGTAGGCTATGTGTGACGTTTGTTATGTATTTGTGTGTTGGTGAGGAAAGTTCCAACCTTATGTCTCTGTCCTCTTGCTATGAACATCGAGAGACGTGGAGTCAGTGGAGTTAATGACGATGAACTGCTTCATTCGTAATAGCTTCCTTTACCAGTTACATTTCCCACCGGTTCCGCATTCCAATGCTCTTATTTCACTCCCGCCCGCTCCAAGGGTTGTATTGTGCCCAGCTGAGAACAGTGCAGCACAAGAGGCTTCAGCTTTCCATGAGGAACATGAAGCTTGTAGTGCCTTTGTTACTTTGGCATGTGTATGTTACTGCTGGAACAGTTTTAATTGTAAAACCACTTGCAGGAATGAAAAGAGTGCATTGCCTACTATGGAAAAGTCTTAGGCAATGTATTGGAAAGTGCCCCTTGTTATATTCAGTGGCTTTAGTTAAGCAGTGATTTAATACAGACAGAAAACATATTCATGTCATGTCACAAAGTTACTTTATAACGAGGAAATTAGATTTAAAGTCTTATGGATTCAATCATGCACATCAAAACATGCTTACAGGTGCATCTCAATAAATTAGAATGTCGTGGAAAAGTTAGTCAAATATGGCACCTCATCATTTTAGCAGAAGTACAAAAGGAAGAGCCCCTAGGCTATATAGGGGGCCCTTCAAATGTTAACTTTGACAATAGGGGTCCTTGGATTACAAAGGCTGAGAACTACAGACTCTGAGGGGCTGAAATTCAAGCTGATGTTTACTGAACATTAAGCTTACTTGGGTGTGCATGATAAAACATACAAAACTTTGATATTTTACTATTGCTCAAGGGCGCAGTAGGGATAGAGCAGAACTGTGATTTCAGTATCTCTGTTTCCAGAATTAACCTTTAGTTGAGCAGCCCACATTCACAACCTCAGCCATCAGATAAGAATACTGAGGTCTGATTCATTGCTCCCTGAAGAGTTTTTAAATGTGCTTTAATGTATATGATAAAAAAAGACATGCAGATCTTTACAATACAGTGTACTTTTTAATGCAGTAGGCCTATATATAATGCATCCTTGAAAGTCTCCATACAGGATCAATATCAACTTATAAGTCAACGTGAGCAGTGCACGTTGTTCTGTTACGTCACACAACTTGTCGAGAAAAGATTTGACTTTCAATATGCACTTTCACTCATTTTAATTAAAGTTGCTCTGGCTAACATTTGATAGTGATAAATGTAGCGCACCCCACAAGGATTAGACGTCAAGAGTCATTTGTAAGAAAGCAAGTCTTCATTAGAATCTGCCGATGTTCTCGAAGTCACGTCATATAGTACTGCGGGTGATATTAGCTTGCAGATGTTTGTCATCTGTAGACCGCAGCTGTTCATGTGAAAGACTCTCAGTGGTACCTGCCTTACCGCTTTTTCCTATATGTAGCCTACCTCCCCTGATTGCAAGCAAATGCGCAAGACAAACCATAAGCCCTGCAGCTTTCACTGATGACTCCTTCGCCAACCCATTAGCTCTCGTAAAGTCACTTTTCCATGTCCTCAGTTCTCACAGTGGGACACTTTGCATGCACTCAGGGGCCGCATCACAGTCTGGCTGTGAGCTTTTAGACTTGCTTACGCACACAGAGCATGAGTAATATCGTTTCCCCGCGAGTGCACCACCACATCACTGCAACGGAATTTCCCCATCTCATTTCATATGAAAAAGAGGCAGAGAGAAGAAAGCTCTTGGATCTTCTTATTCAGTCGTAAAACATCAAATTGTACCCATGCGCAAAACCTCGAACCCACTCCGAGTTATCAGGAAACGTGTGCGCAGAAGTTGTTTTTGTCAGTTTCGCTGTAATCTGCTACCGCTATTTGACACCTTTTTATGTGTGCTTCTTTGTTCAATTTTGTCAGGTTCAGCCCTTTGTTTGAAATCCGAATTCTGGAACAGAGATGTCGCACAATGTGTACCTTGTCAAATATGCAAACAGTATCCGAAAACTCCATCATGTGACACATGTGAGTATATTCGATCAAAGTTGGGATTATAATTGGTCTGACTCTGAATAGTAGTGATGGCTTGTTCATGAACACACTAAGAAAAAAAAAGGTACAAAAAGCTGTCACTAAGGCGGTACCCTAAGGCAGTGGTTCCCAACCCTGGTCCTGGAGGCACCCCGAACCTGGACGTTTTGTATGTCTCCTTAATCAAACACACCTGATTCAGGTCATCAGCTCATTAGTAGAGACTCCAAGATCTGAAATTGGTGTGTCAGAGAAAGGAGACATGCAAAATGAGCAGTGTTGGGGTGCCTCCAGGACCAGGGTTGGGAACCACTGCCCTAAGGTACAAAAACTAAAGGTAGCCTACCATTTTATACCTTATTTGCCCCTATTAGTAGGCTTACTTGGCTACCATAAGGTACACATTAGTTGGCATACTTTAAAAGTACATATTATTAACCTACCTGCAGTATACATATTTGAAAAGGGTGACACCCCATTTACGGTTTTGTCTTTTTTCTTTCTTTTTTCAAGTTGCAGTAGCGACTGGGGAGGTAAATAGGCCTAATCATTCATTTAAATTTGGTTTATGGAAGCCACCATAGAATGAAAACAAAAAAAAAGTAATTGTGACTGTTTATCTCACTTTTTGTCTCAGAATTGCAAGAAACAAAGTCTGAATTGTGAGATATAAATCAGAACTGTGAGATAAAAAGTTGCAAACATCTCTTATGTATTTGTTTTCGTGGTGGAAGCAGGGTCACATTAAAATTTCCTAATTTCTACTATTTTCAAAAATGGGGAATTTCGCTACTGAACATTTTTTTGAATTTAGATCCACGTGAATGAGATAACTTGAATAAAAATTTGTTCATTTTGTCGAACAAGATACAAAGATCCAAGTCATTAAAATGGTCCGATATTCCCAAACTGAATAAGGTTAAACGCTCATGAGAATGCATTGTAAGTAGATTCTTTTGCAGTAGGTCAAAGCTTACGTACAGAGAAGGAGTGGCCAGATTCTTTCTGTATGATCCGTCGAGCTGGAGGTCTTCCAGTAACATTGTCCTGTGCTTTTAAGGCCCACCCATAGAGCCTTCAGATTCCTGGAGGGTGGCAGCAATTACCAGTTTATCTGTCCTGGCAGCCGTAATTGTTTGCGGAGCCTTGCTCATAGGCATTCTAGTGCATCAATTCAGGTCCAAGAGGACTTTACGTGGTGAGATATTAACATTACAGCACATTTTTAACAACAAACATTCTCCTTTAGAGCAGTACTCAGAACTAACTAACTTTTTCTGTCCACAATTCAGAACCGATTGAAGAGACAACAGGACCCCTTTATCAAGTATAGGATCTTCATAAGGTAAGGGTTGAAAACGGCAACACTTCTTAGGATGCTTCGAAATGCGTTAAGGAAATTAGTTTTGTTCATATGCAATCTTTTAAATGTTTTCAGCTCATGGAACTCAAGCTGACGAAAATGAAAATGGACTGTTACTCCAGTGAATTAATGCTCCAGTTGGTAAACGCTGGCTAGTACCTCAACCACAGAGTGTTCTATGAGTAGCATCTGATTTGTCTAACTTATTACATTAGTAGGCTATGTCATGCATAGCAAATGGTTATGCACAAAAGCTGCACTGAGACCTTCCTTGTCACTCACTGTGCAGAATAGGTTTGCAAGCCTTGGTGCTAAGTGACATCCTATGGACAGCATGATAGCACTGTTTTTGCAGAAATTTGAGGTCATTCATGTTGCACTTAGTGCACTGTAGATGCATTCCCACTTGAATATTCCTTGTTAGATTTGTGAACATGATAAACAAATAACCACAAACCGTTTAATATAGTAGACTTAGAGATCAACTTTTTTATACAAATATGCCTCCCTAAACAGATTTAGTATGGCACAGCCATTTGAATGTATTTGTAATCATTGTTTGTACAGTTTAATTATCTATTTTTATAGTGTTGGAATACTACGCACTGTATAGATGTAGCCCTTTGTACAACAATGTTCTGACACTGACTGGCTCAGCAGCCTGTCTATAGCATTGATGAACGTTCTGGAGACACTGAAGACCAGCGAAGCAACAGAAGGTGATAACCTGAAAGACAAGAGTCGCCAGCTGACATTAACAAACTCTTTGAGAAAGAGTCGCAGGTGTCAGATTCCATCAGATTTTTGCTGCCTTTATACGCATAAGAGATTAGATAGTTTAGAGTGATATTTACATGTAAGTAGTGATATTTACATACATGCAATACATTTAATCTCCCGTGTTTTATAATTTCAGCTTACTAAAATGTTTTGAAACGCAGTTTTAGATGCGTGTAGCCAGCTGTGGGCATTATGGAATGTATATATTTATATACAGCAGATGCTGAGTAATCAACTTGTTTGAATGACAAGAGGTTAATCTCATGAAACCTGTGAAGAACATGTTTGAGTAACATTTCAACCCAGAATCAAAAGAATTCAATAAGAAATATTTTGCTTAAAGAATTTGTTGCATTGTTTTCAAGAAAACTTAAGCACACTTTATACCCCAGTTCCCAAGAATACTTTATGTCCATTCATGTTGCACTTAGTGCACTGTAGATGCATTCCCACTTGAATATTCCTTGTTAGATTTGTGAACATGATAAACAAATAACCACAAACCGTTTAATATAGTAGACTTAGAGATCAACTTTTTTTATACAAATATGCCTCCCTAAACAGATTTAGTATGGCACAGCCATTTGAATGTATTTGTAATCATTGTTTGTACAGTTTAATTATCTATTTTTATAGTGTTGGAATACTACGCACTGTATAGATGTAGCCCTTTGTACAACAATGTTCTGACACTGACTGGCTCAGCAGCCTGTCTATAGCATTGATGAACGTTCTGGAGACACTGAAGACCAGCGAAGCAACAGAGGGTGATAACCTGAAAGACAAGACTCGCCAGCTGACATTAACAAACTCTTTGAGAAAGAGTCGCAGGTGTCAGATTCCATCTGATTTTTGCTGCCTTTATACACATAAGAGATTAGATAGTTTAGAGTGATATTTACATGTAAGTAGTGATATTTACATACATGCAATACATTTAATCTCCCGTGTTTTATAATTTCAGCTTACTAAAATGTTTTGAAACGCAGTTTTAGATGCGTGTAGCCAGCTGTGGGCATTATGGAATGTATATATTTATATACAGCAGATGCTGAGTAATCAACTTGTTTGAATGACAAGAGGTTAATCTCATGAAACCTGTGAAGAACATGTTTGAGTAACATTTCAACCCAGAATCAAAAGAATTCAATAAGAAATATTTTGCTTAAAGAATTTGTTGCATTGTTTTCAAGAAAACTTAAGCACACTTTATACCCCAGTTCCCAAGAATACTTTATGTACCTCATTGTGAATCACTGCCATGTTTGTCAGAAATCTAGGAACATCAAGAAGCTAGTCCAGAATCTTTATCGATAAACATAAACCTGTGAAGCATGCACGGCGCTGTCACAGTCTTAAGAAAAGTTGGTTGTGTATTTGTGCCTTTACTCATTCACAATTACTCCACAGACTGCAGAGGAAACTATGCATTTTAATACAATAAAGAGACAACTAACGTACTGTATTTGTCTGTTGATGTTTTTTGTTTCCTTAATGTGTTTTTTGAAGTGTCTAATTTGCAGTAGTCACAACGTGACAGCAGAACGATAAACCCATTGACTCAATTCTCATTTGCATATTCTAAAATAATCATATAATGCACTGCAACTGCAAGGAATTCAAGTGTTAAAACAAAGATAAGATATAAGGCGGCTCAAAGAAGAAGCCAAAACACACCGCTATATTGGTTTTATTCAGTTCAAGAAAGTGAGGGCATCAACACCTACAAATAAACATCATCTGCTTATTAAGGTCACTACTTCGATATCCTGAAAGACAAGAGTCGCCAGCTGACATTAACAAACTCTTTGAGAAAGAGTCGCAGGTGTCAGATTCCATCTGATTTTTGCTGCCTTTATACACATAAGAGATTAGATAGTTTAGAGTGATATTTACATGTAAGTAGTGATATTTACATACATGCAATACATTTAATCTCCCGTGTTTTATAATTTCAGCTTACTAAAATGTTTTGAAACGCAGTTTTAGATGCGTGTAGCCAGCTGTGGGCATTAGGGAATGTATATATTTATATACAGCAGATGCTAAGGAGTAATCAACTTGTTTGAATGACAAGTAAGAGGTTAATCTCATGAAACCTGTGAAGAACATGTTTGATTAACATTTCAACCCAGAATCAAAAGAATGCAATAAGAAATATTTTGCTTAAAGAATTTGTTGCATTGTTTTCAAGAAAACTTAAGCACACTTTATACCCCAGTTCCCAAGAATACTTTATGTACCTCATTGTGAATCACTGCCATGTTTGTCAGAAATCTAGGAACATCAAGAAGCTAGTCCAGAATCTTTATCGATAAACATAAACCTGTGAAGCATGCACGGCGCTGTCACAGTCTTAAGAAAAGTTGGTTGTGTATTTGTGCCTTTACTCATTCACAATTACTCCACAGACTGCAGAGGAAACTATGCATTTTAATACAATAAAGAGACAACTAACGTACTGTATTTGTCTGTTGATGTTTTTTTGTTTCCTTAATGTGTTTTTTGAAGTGTCTAATTTGCAGTAGTCACAACGTGACAGCAGAATGATAAACCCATTGACTCAATTCTCATTTGCATATTCTAAAATAATCATATAATGCACTGCAACTGCAAGAAATTCAAGTGTTAAAACAAAGATAAGATATAAGGCGGCTCAAAGAAGAAGCCAAAACACACCGCTATATTGGTTTTATTCAGTTCAAGAAAGTGAGGGCATCAACACCTACAAATAAACATCATCTGCTTATTAAGGTCACTACTTTAAAAAGAGAAACATTGATCATGTGAACAAAAATAAATATTTTATATTTAAGATATATGCAACTGATTACAGTGAGTCTCAGTTGTCAGTTTAAGTTTTCTCAAATGCAATGAAGCCATTAATACATGAAAGTTTGCAAATTCTACTCTTAAATAATCAGTAAGCACTGATCTATAGGCTTAAAAGGAAACCATCTTACAAATAATTTAATCCAAGTAGGGTGGTGATATGAAATGGCACATTGAAATTCAATCTGGCATCAAAGACAGACACAGAAGCATTGATGCAAGAAGCATCAAGCTAAATGTATTTTCTTACATTGCGTCTAGTAAGTTGTGAGACCTGAGCATTTAAAAAAAAAAAAAAAACTGTTGAAAAGAGTTTAGTCTGAGAATTCCTGCCCTAATAGAGCCCGACCGATCATGGATTTATTTTGGGTCCATTAGTTTTTTGTGCTCCAAATCTTGAACATACTTCCACTTCATAAAACATTTACTAGAAAAGTATGTCGTAAGAAAACTGAAATATTTCTGTTGTACTTTCAAATACGCTCTTGTGAATGCTTTTAAAGAGGTATTTCTTAAGTGTTTACAACCATTATCTAGAATACCTACATAATCGACCAATCTAGCATTTATCACACATTTAATACCATGCATAATGTGTACCACATTTAACAGTATTAAAGACAAGAAATATGCTTACACTTCAAATATTAATGTTAGGTATAAATAGTTCTATTTAAATAAATAAATATCTTTGAGATTTTCTACAAGACAGGCCTTAGTGAAGGTTGCTGTTTAACAGCCTTACCAGTGTCATCCATTATGAAACTGCAGGAACATCAAGAGTATGTTGGTCTTAATGAGACAATTACAGCACATCTACCATGAGCAGTACAATAACCTGAAAATATGGAAGCACTTAATACAAACATAATGAGAAGGATAGCATGTATCCCTTTTATTCCCATAATACCTTTTAAAAAAAAAGACCATAACAGCTTGTTTTGTTCCCCCTCTGATTACGCCAAATAATCGGTCAGGCTCTTGAAGGCAGCACTAGGTAAGAGTCTGGACAGAAATACTCATCCAAGCTCTCAGTCTGAGACCTATCATAGTACCAAACAATTTGTGCACTGTGTGGGGACACAAAACAAACAAAATAAAATAAAAACCTAAAATGGTCTCTGACAGGCACTGTCACTTATTCTAAAATGTCTACAGTATTACTGTCCCTACCAGAGGTAGTATTTTATCAATGCCAGTCTTAAGTGTCCATTAAAGAACAACATTTGAAAACACCCCAGTAAAGCAGGCAAGTCTTGCCAAGATTAGCATCTGTGTGCGACACCATCTGGACAAGTACAGCAGAAAACCTGATGTGGTACGATTATTGGCATTGGGCCTTGGGTGGAGAAAGAGTCTTGTAATAGAATATTGTTTTGAAATCTTCCCTTGAAGCGGCAAGATTGGAGTGTGGCCTTAGAGGAAAGGTTCCACACCCAGTCCCATGAATGCATTATCATCCATGTTGAAGGAGGACTCATAAGTCTGTTGGGTATTCTGATGCATCTTCTGATGGTGCCGGAGGTTGGACTTGCTAGAGAAACGCTTGTCACAAAGGAGGCAGGAGAAAGGCTTCTCTTTGGTGTGGATGCGCCTGTGGCAGATAAGCTGGGTGGAGACCCGGAAGGCCTTGCCACACTCCAGGCACTGATAGCGTTTGGGTTCTGTGTGAATGCGCCGGTGATTCTTCAGCGCCATTAGATTGGTGAACTCTTTTTGGCAGACCGAGCAGAAGAAGGAGCCAGTCTTGTGGCTGTTCTTGTGGTTGAGCAGTGAACCCGCGTGGCGGTAAGTGCGCCCACAGTGCTCGCACACATGACTTTTCTCTTCCCTACTGTATCCCTCGCTACTTTCCTGCTGGTCTTGCAGCTCTCGGCTGAAGGCTGAATCGATCTTAGGAAGGCTCTGAATTCCTATCTGCTGGTCTAGTGCCGAGTCCCAGCCTAAATCCTGCTGCATCTGCATACCTTGCTCATGGTGTGACTGCCCCTGCAAGCCGCCATGGAGCTCCTGGTGCTGCTGAAAACTAGCCAGGTTTGGGAAGTTCTGTTGACATATGTTGCAGTAATAGGGGAGTTCCTTACTATGCACCTCCATGTGGCTCTGCAGGTGTGCAAACTCACAGAAGGTTTTCCCGCAATCTGGGCAGCAGTGGCGAGCCATTTGAGAATGACTCTCTAAATCCAGAGGGTCCGTGAATGTTTTTAGGCAGAGAGTGCAGTGTAGGAGGTCAGTGGAATGAGTCTTCTTGTGGTTAAGAAGGGAACCGGCATGTCTATAAGAGCGTCCACACTGATCACACCTGTAACAAAGGAAAAGATTGGCATCAGATGACGGATAAGCAAGGATAGGTGTTCAAATAGCATTTAAGTAAAAAAAATGACTCACGTATAGCATTTGTCCACACCGTCTTGATTTACAGTAGAGTTTGGATTGCCGTTTCGGTAACAGCGATGTCTCTTTAGCCCAGATTTTCCCTGGAAGCTTTTGCCACATGTTTGGCAGCTGTAATGAGTTATTCCTCGTGTATGGATTTTTTGATGATTGTAAAGGATACTAGAGAGACGGAAAGCTTTACCACAAGTAGGACAGACATACTTTTTCTTCTGCGTGTGAATGCGTGTGTGGTTTCGTAAAGCCATGGGATTGGAAAAGGGCTTGGCACAGAAGGTGCAGGTGAAATGGCCTGTTTTGTGAGTGTTCTTATGGTTCAACAAGCTACCAGCGTGACGGTAACTGCGACTACAAATGTTGCACTTGAATGGTCGTTCTTCTTTTTCTAGGTCCGCACCATCATTGTCACCATCTACATTTCCTAGGGGGACCGAATCAGGGGCAGTCTCTATACTACAGGTGTGTCCTTCAAGTAGTTCAGTATCTGGAAATACAAGACGGCACTGCTTGCAAGTCAAATTCTTTTCTCGTTTGTGGCCCCTGACCTTTCCTCTTGCTGCTGCATTTCTTTTATTGGTCAAACAAGTGTGGTTGAGTAACTGTTTGTTTCCCCTGAAGGCCTTCCCACAGTCTTGGCAGCAGTGTCTTTTGACGGCAAAGTGTATTCGCAAATGATTCTTCATTGCTAGCTGGTTGGAGTAAGTGTTGTTGCACAACGCACAGTAATATTCACCTGTCTTGTGTGAGTTTTTGTGGTTGACCAAGCTTCCTGCATGTCGATAGCTTCGCCCACACTGATCACAGACAAAAGGGCGAGGGTCTCTGGGATCTCCCATCTGGCCCACTTTTTCTTGGCTAGACTGATCACTGTTAGAGGTCTGCCGTCGCTTGTGGCGTCTGCTCATTCTCTTTTTGCTGGAATTAAGTGCCTGCATTCCACTCCCTGAGGCATTCCCACTCATCTGCATGAGGGTCTGAATTTGTTTGTTGAGCTCTTCAATCTTAGCCTTGTTTTCCTGATGTACCCTCTGGTGGTTCAACAGTTGTTTATAGATTTTAAATGCTTTCCCACATTCTGTGCATCTATGCCTGGCAGAAAAAGATCAGATAAAACAAGAACTTGGCTGTAAAACAATATAGATGAAGTATAACCTATACAATAACTTTTTTCAAAGCAATCCAATTCTGAAGTTCAATATGAACAATTTTTTTGAAATACTTACTTTTTAACATCAAAGTGTGTCCTCTGGTGATTCTTGAGAGCCAGCAAATTATAAAAGCGCTTTTGGCAAACGAAGCAGCGAAACACTCCAGTTTTGTGAGACTTCTTATGATTGAGTAATGATCCAGCATGTCTGTACGAACGACCACATTGGTCACACTTGTACTGGCGCTCTCCATCATGTGGACTCGCCTGCAAAAGTTCTCGTTGAAATGTACTTTTAAGAAGTGATTTCTCCCCACATTTCTCCTCCACTTGTCCATCTCGTTGTCCTGTGCAGTTGTGGTTATTGAGGTGATTAATATTGTTGCAGCTTATGCCACATTTCCCACAAATAATACTTTCCATTTCCACTTTTGGTTTGAGCTCATTCTGGTGGTTGGTTACAAATTGTTCTTGTGGATTACTTTCTATATTGCTATGCAAGAGCTGGTGGGCTTGTAGGTCTTGTTTCTTTGTAAAGCTCTCTCCACAAGTGCTGCAGATAATCAGACTGCAGTCACCCTGCTGATTTTCACTCGGTTCATCTTTCTTAACCTCTAGAGAAGACAACGATGATGGGCCACATGCTGAAGGTGCGCCATGAGTTTGAGTATGACCTCTGAGATGGCTTCGCAGTGCACGCATGCTAGTATAGTGATTTCCACACACCGAGCACTGATACATCTCTCCATCATCTTCTTCTTCATCGTCTTCACATTCAGCTTCACTGTCACTCATCTCACCATGAACGTTGTCATGAAAGGTCTGCTGTCTAAAATAGGCCTCTGCTGCACTAGCGTTGTGTCCCTCAAAACCAACATCTTCCCCTGACTCTCCTAAGAAATGTTGATGCTTTGTGTTGTGAAAGTCCATGTGACCGGGTGAGCCATTCATCATGGTCTGATACTGCTGATTCAGGAGGGGACAAATGTGTGACTTGATTCCTGCAATATCAGTAAATGTTTTACCACAGTCAGCACACATGTGCCTCTCCATGAGGTGTTCAACCTGAGGTAGGTGCTCATCTGAGAAGGAATTGTCAAACGGCTCATGAAATTCTGTAGCATTCGTCTCATTCACATGCTCCTCATCGGACGACAGATGAAAAGTGTCTGTATGCTCCAAAAGACTGGGCATGCTTGCACATACTACACCACAATGTCTACACAAAAAGCCTTTGGTCCGGCTTGGCTCTTGCATAGCTATAATGGTATAGTATAATCATAAGAAATGTCAACAAGAGCCAGTTTGAATGACTGTGAGGGACAAACCTGTCCTCGCTATTATCAAATCGGCTTGTTTGAAGAGGTGTAAAGGCAACATTCAAAATATTAACTGAAAATACAGTCTGTTCCATTCCATTGGAAAAATGTAATTGTGAAGATTATGCAAGCGCAGGCACTGGATGAAATCTGTAACAGGAAAACCCATACATTATTTACCATTAAGTTCACATAAGGCAGTTGCATAACAAGAAAGTCAATAATGATGAAAAGCTAACATTAACATTGCTTTCTAATGAGACCAAGTCTTGACAAAAAGCTCTGAGTTTACATAACCCATGAGTAATTAAATAAAAGGAAGTATTCTACCATTACTGTAAAATAAAATAAAAACTGCACTGGTTTACAAGGGTAATGCATGCAAAACTGAAGATTCTATCTTCAATCTTTAATCTTCATATGACTTTCTTTCCGTATGACAGTCTCCGTCAATATTCACTTTTATTGTATGGACTAAAAATGTAATAAAAGGAAATGCTGACTGAAGCTGTCATTCTGCCTGACATCTCCTTTAATGCTGTTAGAAGAAAGAAAGTCCTACAGGGTTGGAATGTCATGAGGGTGAGTAATTAGGAATTTGGTATAAGGTAAACAGATTCCTCTAAAAGGTCAAAGGTCTCTATTATTGTTACCATTTTAATAAATTAATAATTTATTATTAATCAATTAAAATTAAAAATCAATTAAAACAGAAACAGAACTTGGGACAAAATAAGATGGATTTCATTGGATAAATAGTGACTTTTCTTTTCTGGGTGAATTGTCACTTTAATAAACACTTTTTATATGTTCACATTAAAAAGTGTTAATTAAGCACACAAAAAACACCAAACACACACTTTTTTTATACAAGCAATGATTAAACCAACTTGGATATATATATACACCAAGTTACATGCAGGGGTTTTTATATCCATTCAAAGCTATTTACCATCAATCATGAAGCCTGGTCAGCTCCAGATTTTATTCTTCTTTATATCTTATTTTAAAACACTATTCAACAGAATAACGCTGATACAGTTTATCTGTCTGGTTCTGACAGTATCACTGATCTGTAATGGATTTTAGGTAGAATTTATATAAATGAGTGGACAGCTTGAAGGATCAACTCAAGCAGTTAGGTGACAGACTGCCTAACACAATGGAGCTCTATTGACACAGTAAACACTTGCCGAGTACATTAGCCTAACAGCTAGCAACACAAGCACAATTTTGATAGTTTTAATAGTCTTATAGCCGTAGTCTAAATTAATGTAGTAGACAAATTGCCCTTGAGTTGAACTGAATAAAATATGTATTTGGGAGAGGCAGTAGCGTAGCATCCCATCCCGTTGCGAGCTAATTAGCATTTGGCGGCTAGAATCTACGGCTAAAACTAACCCACTGATACGGCAAAAAAGACGATAGGAATATACATACTGAATGTTGCAGTCTCCCTGTGTGATGTTGGCGCATGTAATGTTGGCACTCCGTTCACTTTATTTTAGTTTCAGGACGGGCGTGTTCGTCCCCCTTTCTACCAATTGTCTTTTCCACCATCCCACTCGACTCACTTCCTGCTCTTGTTGCTAGGAAACAGGACACACAATGGAGCTCTATTGACACAGTAAACACTTGCCGAGTACATTAGCCTAACAGCTAGCAACACAAGCGAAATTTTGATAGTTTTAATAGTCTTATAGCCGTAGTCTAAATTAATGTAGTAGACAAATTGCCCTTGAGTTGAACTGAATAAAATATGTATTTGGGAGAGGCAGTAGCGTAGCATCCCATCCCGTTGCGAGCTAATTAGCATTTGGCGGCTAGAATCTACGGCTAAAACTAACCCACTGATACGGCAAAAAAGACGATAGGAATATACATACTGAATGTTGCAGTCTCCCTGTGTGATGTTGGCGCATGTAATGTTGGCACTCCGTTCACTTTATTTTAGTTTCAGGACGGGCGTGTTCGTCCCCCTTTCTACCAATTGTCTTTTCCACCATCCCACTCGACTCACTTCCTGCTCTTGTTGCTAGGAAACAGGAAATGTGCATCAACGAAAAACGTCCGTTCGTTCATATCTTAAGAGGTGTTTTCTTTAACAACCTATTTTCATTCGAAAACGTATTTTACTTTTATTATTTCTACTCTCTCCGCAAGTTCCTATTGGAATAATTTAATAGCATGAACTACATGAAGTTTAGCAACTTACCCGCTTTTCCCAAAACGTTTGCTCACTAGTGACCATGAATGTTTTATTTTTGTAATATATAACCACACATTTGTGCAAACACTCTTACATTATATGTATATAATTAAACATTATTCAGCTATCAGTACTTCTTGGAATCTGTTCCACCCATTACGTTATATTTTCGAAGCCTCGCTTTTGTTTGTTCGTTCATTCTTTAATGTTGTCATTAATGTTAATAACAGCTTGTATTATTAAAAATGCACAATTCCACTGTATTTGTCAACTCTTAAAATAAATCTATTGCAAATACACAGTTACTAGAACCAGTTAACCGCACTATAATTTTTTTGCCAATTCACATTTTGTTATGTAACTTTATATGCACAAAACAACTGCACATCCACGTACATTGAAGTGAGCATACATAATTTCCCCTCCCACAGACTCTCTCCCCACCCCATTCTATCCCACTCACCATGCACTCTAGTCCATAGAAACACCGTAGCAAGAACACCAAAATAGCAGAGGCTTGAAAGCGTTTTAATTTAAGAGAAATTCAGATCATTTTGTAGACCTTCCCCAGGTGGTGAGTGAGGAAGTCATGAAGGCTCACATCTCTGCGTTCACTGGGTAATTTCGTCGTGGTCCTAAAGCCGCCGATCTTCTCCTGAGATTGATCGATTTTGCTATTCATTGTCAAAGACACCCGTCTCTCCGGAGAGCACAAAAGGTACGTAACGTAAATCACATTTTGTAAGCATACTAAAAAGATAAAAACGGTAACATTTTGTTATGCAGCGATTATAATGAAGTGACAAGCGACTGCAAATCGCTTCGCATGTTCAGCGGTCCTAAAGCCAGCCATTTTGTGTTATGGTGCAAGCTAAAAGAGCAGTTGTATGCTTTGAAGACATGTTCATTAGCTCTTTGAATTACCACTGTATTGTATTCGCATTGCTTCTATTTGGTCATGGTCGTTATGTTAAATTTCTGTTAACATCGAAATGTAATTCAGTTTTGTACACAAGTAGCTCAGATGCCAACATCCTTTGAGAACAAGAGCTTTCCTAATTGTCCCTGAGGTCCTAATGCCGGCCATTTTGTGCTGCCTGCGCCTGCCCCATCCCAGCATATTTAATTTTTTAAACAATATTCACCATGGTTTTTGCCAAAATATTACTAGTTTTATTTATATACACTGTATGTACATCATATACTAAATACTACATTCTAGTTACTACAGTTATTGTTCCTATAATAAAGTCTGTCATTAATTACTACCTTCATGTTGTTCCAAAGACGTAAGACCTTCGTTCATCTTCAGAACACAAATTAGGATATTTTTGATATTTTAAGTCTGAGAGCTCTCTGACAGCAACGCAACTGAAATGTTCCCAGACCTAGAAACATAGTAAGGACATCAGTAAAACACTCAATGTGACATCAGTGGCTCAACTCCCAATTTTGCGAAGCTACGAGAATACTTTTTGTGCGCAAAGAAAGCAAAAATAAAAACTTTATTCAACAATTCTTCTCCCCCGAGTTAGCATCTTCCGTCATTTTTGAGAGTAGTACAACGCATGCATGCGCTTCCCCTGAATGTAATCAGCGCATACGTCGTGCTACTCTCCAAAATGGCGGAAGACGGTAACTCGGGGGAGAAGAATTGTTGAATAAAGTCATTATTTTTGTTGAGCCACTGGTGTCACATGGACTGTTTTACTGATGTCCTTACTACGTTTCAGGGTTTGGGAACATTTCAGTTTCATCAAAAATATCCTAATTTGTGTTCTGAAGATGAACGAAGGTCTTACATGTTTGGAGCGACATGAGGGTGAATAATTAATGAGAGAATTTTCATTTTTGTGTGAACTAACCATTTAACTTCAATTTGCCTTCATTGTCATAAGATATAAAATATACTAAATGACGGAGGAAAATGCATTTTTAAAAGAAAATTAACAGTAAGTGTAGTATTTATTTAATATATTTTTCCAAAAAAAAAGAATAAAGTTGGAACAAAGAGTAACTTATAACAGCAAAGAATATAAGTGACAAAAAATGAAAGTATAAATGAATCGGTCAAATGTAAGTAAAGTAAACAAAGTAAGGAAATGAACCCTAAATTAAATTATAACTCAAATTCAAGGCACTCATTGTGTATTTTGTTGTTCTCTCCAGCATCATCAGGATGGCTTCACCCCAACCAGGTAGCCCACCAACCGCAGAGCAGTATACACCACCGCCTTCTGAGACAGAGCCCAACAAAGAACCAGACAACTCATCAGAACAACCTACGAGAAGAAGAGGCAAAGGGAGACCGCCAAAAACTTTGCACACTTTTAAATGCTCGACCTGTCAGGAGGTCTTTACCAGCCCTTCAGCTCTACAAAGCCACAAGCTGTCAGTACATGGTAAAGACAAACAGCCGCAGTACACCTGCAGTAAGTGCATAAAGACGTTCTCCAGCCGGGCGCAGCTTTCCAAGCATCAGCGCTCCCATTCTGCTCAGCGTCCATTCCAGTGTCCACACTGCCATAAGGCTTACAAGACTCCAACGGAGTTACGCAACCATAGCCGTTCACACACAGGAGAGAAACCGTTTGTTTGTTTTGACTGTGGCAAGGCAT